ATGCACAGTTTTGTAGCCCTTTGGGCATAGTTCCAAATTATTGTCTAAAATGGTTGGACCAGTTCACAACTCAATCGATAGTTCATTATTGTACCTATTTTCCCTTATGCCTTCCAACATTTGTCATTTCTGATAGGTGTGGAGTGGTACCTCAGAATTGTTTTAATTTGTATTTCTCTAATTAATAGTGATTTAGAGCATTTTTAAATATAATTCTAGATAGCTTTGATTTCATTTGCTGAAAAATGCCTGTTCATATCCCTTGACAATTTATTAATTGGGAAATGGCTCTTATGTTTATAAATTTGACTCAGTTCCCTATATATTTGAGAAAAGACACCTTTATCAGAGAAACTTGCTGAATTTTTTTTTTATATGTAACTTCATGTCTATGGTCCCTTTTAGGTCAGTGTAGTTTCCCTGGTGATCTCTTTTTATTAGTTTTATTTTTGCTTTTACTTGGTCTGAGATCATGATTGCTATCATCATTGAAGTAGATTAGGTTCTGCTTTAGCCCTTTATTTTAATTCTGTATGTTTGACTTTCTGTTTCAGGTGTGTCTCTTCTAAACAATGTATTGTTGGATTCTGATTTCTAATCCATTCTGCTATCTGTTTTTATTTCATGAGTGAGCTCATCACATTTACATACACAGTTCTGATTACTAACTGTATATTTCCTGTCATCTTATTTTCTTCTGTTTATCTTTCTCTCTCTCTCTCTTTTTTTCCCTGTCTCTTCTCTTTCCTCTCTTTTTTTAAGGCAATTAGGGTTAAGTGACTCACCCAGGGTCACACAGCTAGTAAGTGTCGTGTTTAGTCTGAAGCCAGATTTGAACTCAGGTCCTCCTGACTTCAGGGCCAGCGCTCTATCCACTGTACCGCCTCGCTGCCCCTTCCTGTCCCTTCTCAAAAGTCTGTTTTACTTCCAACCACTGCCTCCCTTAATCTACTCTCCCTTTTATTATCCCTTCCCCTTTTTCCTATCCTCTTCCTCTCCTATTTCCCTGTTGGGTAGGATAGATTTTTATACCCAATTTAGTGTGTGTGTGTGTATGTTCTTCCCTCTTTGAACCAATTTGATGAGAATGAAGTTCAAATATTGCTTCCCTCCCCCCTCCATTTTTCTCTTCATGGTAAAGCTATTCCTTGTGGGCCTCTTTTTTTGTGAGATAATTTCCCCCATTCTATCTCTCCTTTCCTTCTTCTCTCAGTGCATCCCTCTTTCTCATCCCTTCATTTGTTTTAGATCATCCTAACATAATTGAGGCATGCTCATGCCCTCTATGTAGACTACTTCTAACTTCCCTAATAATGATAAAGTAGTAAGAATTACACGTATCATCTTCCCATGTAAGAATGTAAACAGTTTAACTTTATTGAGTACCTTATGATTCTTCTTTCATCTTTACCTTTTTATGCTTCTCTTGCATTTCAAAGTTAAATTTTCTATTCTGGTGTTTTCATCAGGAATGCTTAAAAGTCCTCTATTCATTAAATATCCATTTTTCTCCTGAAGGATTATACTCAGTTTTGCTGGGTAGGTTATTATTCTTGGTTATAATTCTAAGTCTTTTGGCTCCTGGAATATCATATTCTAAGCCCTGTAGAAGCTGCTAAATCTCATATGATTCTAACTATTATTCTAGAGAATATCAATTATCAACATCAGCTATCTAGAGAGAACATTCAGTTAACCATAATTCCTTTATTAGTCTCCAACTAAGGAAGCCTTCAAACAGTAGTATTTGAATTTAACTGATGTTCCAGGCATTAAGTGTCTACTATATGTCAGGCACTGGGAAGAAAAAGACAAAAAAGAAGTAGTCCCTGAGCTCAAGAAGCTTGAGCTGTGCTGGTGAAAACAACATGAATAGAGTAAGGGTGTGGGCATTAGGCACACCCGATATGTACACGTATATGTATATATATACATACACATATATGTACACACATATACCTATGTGTGTATGTGTGTATATATATGTGTGTGTGTGTGTGTGTATACATACATACACACACACACATATATAGGTATATATCCATACACATATATAACGTACTATATATATTACTGTAGTATATAGTACGTTAGTACATACATATATAGCACTATAGTACATAGTACATATAGTACTATATACACATCTGTATAATATATACATACGTAGTATGTACATGTACTATACATTTGTTGTTGTTGAGTTGTTTCAGTCTTGTCCAACTCTTCACGACCCTATTTGGTGTTTTCTTGACAAAGATACTGGAGTGGTTTGACATTTCCTTCTCTAGTTCATTTTACAGATGAGGAAACTTAGGCAAACAAGGTTAAGTGACTTGCCTAGGGTCACACAGCTAGTGTCTGAGGATATATTTAAACTCAGGTCTTTCTGTCTCCAGGCCCAGAGTTCTATCCACTTAGCTGCCCTGATACTATCCATAGATAAGTATATTTAAATATGATATATATATATAAAAGATAGATGTGTTATATAATATAGTATTTTATATATGTATATATGCACTAGATAGATGTTATATAGTATTGTATATGTACTGTGTACTATAGTATTATATATAGTACTAGATAGATGTGCTATATATAGCACATATATACATATACATACACATATACACACACAGTATTTACTTATCTCTATTCAGGTTGTTTTTACATTGAGAAGAGCTCAAGCTCTTTGTGGTCAGGAACTAATTTTTTTTTTGTCTTTTTATTCCTAGTGCCTGGCACACAATAAGCATTTTATTCCTGGGGAGTTCAATTAAATTCAGATGCTACTAAGTGTTTGAGGGCTTCCTTGGTTTCAAACTAACAAAGGAATTAGGTCTAATTGAGTAGTAGATAGATAGATAGATAGATAGATAGATAGATAGATAGATAGATAGATAGATAGATAGATAGATAGATAGATAGATAGATACTATATACATATATGTGTATACATATGTATATACACACATACACGCTCACGCATATACCTTTGAAAACTGTTTCTGGGTCCCCTACAGAGCATCATTAACACATGTAAGATACTTCTGTCTCTCAGACTCATTGTTTTCCCTCTGTAAAATGAGGAGGTTAGATTAAATGATCTTTAAGCTCATTTCTAAATCTAACATTCTATGACTCTCTATTTCCCTATTTCCCTACCTCAAAGTCTGTTTTTCAAGCATACTACTTTCCCAACTCATACTCCCACTGGTAGGTCTGGGCCTCAAAGTGAAGTTAGCTACATCTGCCCCCAGATGTAGAGGTTCTAGAGGACCTTGAGGGTTTGGAGATGAGGGCCTTGGTATTAAATACACCCATTCCAGACATGCCCATGCTTTTAGTAGCAAGTTTTGCATTTGGGTTTTTTTTTTCCCTAGTTTTCTTCATCTTGACTGAATAGAATTTAGCAAGGGCTTGATTTTCCAAGCATTTTTGTTGGGAATATCTTACTTGTGTTGAAGAGAGTGGATATTCTGAATAAAAAGAGTGCAAATGGATTGGATTTGGGAGTCATATAGCTAATCTGTTGAGGATGAATGGCTTCAAAGGAGCTATTCAGGACACTGATGTGGAGGGAGACTTTGGATTCAAATCAGGACCCCAGTGGAAAAAAAAAGTGTGAAATCAGGTAGCATGTTAACTCATTAGAGAGGACTACATTAAAAAAATCAGGTGGCAACCTAGCCTGCTCAGAGTAGTAGGTTCAGGTGTCTACCCTGTTCCTTTACCCTCCTCAACACTGTTGATTATTTGTTGGGTGTTTAGCCAATCTGTCAGGACTTCCTGATGAGCTTTAAAACACCTGGTGTGACTCACTCAACCCTGGCAGGAGGGGAGTTATTTTGCAACTAACTGGGCAAATTAAACTGGACTGATGTCATCTCCTCTTCTCTTTTCTCGCTGGAAGAACAAAACAAACTGTCAGTTATGCCAGTCACAGCTCTGCTAGCAGACATGAGCAAGAGCACTTTGTTTATCTATAAAATGAATTACAACCATTGGTTAGAGGCAGAGATAGAGCTTGGACATTGAAAGGCTGCCTAGACTGGTGTCATTGTTATATAACAGTACCGTGTACAAGAGAGGCTGTATGGTGTAGTGAATAGAGAGGAGGCTTTGGAATCAGGAAAATGTGGGATTAGGTCTTTTCTGTGGCACATACTGGCTATGTGACCCTGGGCAAGTTACTTAATCTCTCAGAGTCCCAGGCACTCTATGGCTATAAATTGCAGGTACCAATCTGCATTGTTCAGATTTTCACATTGGAAGTTCCTTAACAGCACTTCCCGTCTCGCCTCCCCCTTCCTTATTCCCCAGATGCCACAATTATGTGCATAATAATGTTTGTGTAAGCGTAGGAATCAACTGAGTCAGTCACTCCATCACACTTAATTTCTGATCCATTTACCAGGTGATTAAAGCTATTTTGAATCCATCAGTTAATCAAAGGTATTAAAGTAATTTAGGGTTTGTTATGACCTCTAGATCTTCTATAAAATAGCAATCCATTTTGGAACCCAGTGTTAGATTCTCTGTCAGCTGACAGGAGAGACAGTTAGTTCCAGCCAAGCCTCTGGGAGTAAGAAATAGGACCTCAGTCTTCCACCCCCTCCTTGACTAGAAGAGGACCTTATGAACTTTGAAAGTTGAAAGGATTTGGACTTCTCGTCCTAGGAGCATCCCCAGACCAGCTGATGACAGTGTCTACATTGGGAGACGATAATAATAATTTATATTATTTTTATATTTGCAAATTTTTTGTATAGCACTTTTATAACACTTTATTTAGCACTGACACTTATATAGCACTTAGTATGTGCCAGGCATTGTACTAAGCACTTTACAATTATCGTCTCATTTGATTCTCACAACAACCCTGGGAAATGGGTACTATTATTATCCCCATTTTACAGATGAGGAAACTGAGGCAAAAGTCACACAACTAATAAGTGTATGAGGCCAAATTTGAATACAGGCTTTCTTGATTCCAGGACCAGAACTACATCCACTGAACCACTTAGGTGTACTGAAGAAAGGTTGCTTTAGGATTCTACAAAGAGCCCAGCAGAAAACTACACCCTGCCTAAGGGAAACTTTATGAGTACTTCCTGAGAGGGAGAAAAGGACTTCCAGCAATCAGGCTCTGTGAGGTACTGCTTTGTCACATGTGCTCGCTAAGCTTGAGCCTACTTTCCCCTGTATTCGGTGTACTGGTGGCAGAATGTGTCGCAGGAAGAATGTTTTGAATCTACTGTTCTTCTATATCAGCTTAGTAAATACTCCTTTCTAACAGCTAATTAAGTCTGACCAACTAATATATATCAACTCACAATCAAGAAAGCAAGTATACCAGTGGGAGCTCATGAGCTACTGAATTAGAAAGCAATCCTAGCTCCTCTTCTGCATTTAGTTGAGTATATATGTATATCTCTTTTCCTTTCTCCTTTCCCTTTCCTTCTTTCCTCAGCTATTTGTAAAGCCTCATCAGACAGCCATTTTGCTCTCTTGCTCTTCTCTTTTTTTGGAATGTTTTTTGTTGCCGCTTTCTGTGCACTTTTGCAAAATTCTGTCAATAGTTTTTCAGGCACTCTGTCTACCAGATCTAATCCCTTAAATGTATCCATCACCTCCACTTCATATCCATGGGGGATTTGATTTAGGCCATACCCATATGGTCTGATGGTTTTCTGTACTTTCTTCAATTTCAGTCTGAATTTTGCAATAAGAAGCCCATGATCTGAGCCTCAGTCAACTCCAGGTCTCTTTTTAACTGACTGTATAGGTCTTCTCCACCTTTGGCTGCAAAGTATATAATCAATCTGACTTCAATATTGAGCATCCGGTGATGTCCATATGTAGAGTCACCTTTTGGGTTGTTGAAAAAGAGTGTTTGCTCTGACCAGTGAGTTATCTTGACAAAACTCTGTTAGTCTCTGCCCTGCTTCATTTTGTACTCCAAGGCCAAACTTACTTATTATTTCCATTATCTTTTGATTTCCTACTTTAGCATTCTAGCCCCCTATTGTTGACTGTGACATTTTTTTTGGGCATTATTTCTAGAGGATCTTGTAGGTCTTCATAGAACTGTTCAACTTTGGGCTCTTCAGCATCAGTGGTTAGAGCATAGACTTGTATTACTGTGATGTTGAATGGTTTGCCCTATATTCAACAGATATCATTCAGTCATTTTTGAGATTACATCCCAGTACTGTTTTTTTTTACCTTTTATTTACCATGAGGGCTTGTAAGGGAAACTGAGGAGGATAGCCCCCTGTGTAACCGTGTTATGACTTAATGGTGTAACTGCCTCATGACCTGACATAAAGATAAAATGGAGTCATCAAAGCGTGGCTAGGATCAAGGAGACTGGAACATTAAGTAACAACTAAACAATGTTACCTGGGAAACCAATTTATCTCAAGGAACATTTTTCTTGAGAAAAGCGTGTGATTGTCCAAGGAATTGATCACTCCTTGGACAATTACGCAACAAACAGGTAGTTGGAGCTCTGATCAAGCTCCAGCCATTGTTAGAATGTGTATGTACCCTGGATCTGAGTACTCACCAAGGAAATATACATAAAACAAAATATGAAGATTGTTTTTCCCTGGTTTACATGGATATAAAAAGGATCATTGGAAGGGGAGATTTTTTCTACTATGCAAAGTTGTAGTACAAAGCTTTGAATTTCTTTCTGACCATCGCAACTGAATTTAAGAACAAACACATTTTCTATCTCTGTTTCAGGAGAAGCCCAATCAAGAGAAATGAAATATAGAAGGCATTTACAGTGTCTGACACTTAGTAGGAACTTAATAAATATTTATTGACTGGCTGGAAATGAATACTTGTTCACTAAAAGTTGGAGGCTAACATGGATGGTTAAGCAATATTAGCCTATGGCTCATGTTGTAGAATAAACTCAATTAAAAAGAGGAACAGCTTATACTTGGCTCTATGATTGCTCTTTGAATGTGCCTACTAAAGGCCACCATGGACACAGCTGGCTGGCTGGTGATGTTGGGTAGGAAACACTAAAATGATAGGGGAGAGAGGAGCAGGGTCTTAATCTTCCTTGGAAGGGACTTTTAGAGAAGAATCAGGGCTTTTATAGCACTGATGAGTGAGAATTTGGTAGGTCTGACACCTGGTCTTGAATGTTTAGACCACCAGGAATACCTCAGGGAGAACCACCCCTCCTTTCCCTCCCCCAGTGTATTAGAAAGGCAAGCAAGGGAGCTGAATGCATTTCACAAATCTGCCGTTAAGTGGAAGTATGTGTCACATCTTAAGACTACTTAATGTGTTTTTTCCCCCAAGTTCCACTGCTTGATGATGACCCTTCAGTTGGCAGACACTTAACTTCCCAGAAGCACAGACTCTCAGACTTGACTGATTTTTTCTGAGTCAGTGCCAGCAATAAGCACCCTGTGACGCAGGTATGTTTAATATTTTCTTTTCCCCTTTAAAAGGTCGTTTGTGCCCTTTGACCTAGCTATGTACACTGCTAAGCCTATACTCAAAAAAGATGAAAGAAAGAGGAAACAGTCCTTTATATACAGAAGTATTTATAGCATCTCCTTTTGTGGTGGCAGAAAACTGGAAACCAAGAAGATGTCCAACAACTGAGGATGGGTTAAGTGGCGGCGTGTGAATATGGTGGAACACTATTATGCCGTAAGAAAAGAACAAACAGATGATTTAAAAAAGAAATTAAAAGACTTATATGAACTGATGCAGAGTGAAGTAAGCAGAATCAGGAGAACAATTTATACTGTAACATTAATTTTATACAAATGAACAATTTTGAGGATGTTTATAAAATGGTGAAGAATGAAATGTGCAGAACCAGAACAATGTATCCAATAACAACAATACTAGGAAAACAAACAACTTTAAGAGCTGTAAGAACTATGATCAATACAAGGACCATTCATAATTCTGGACTAGTAGACTGATTATGAAACATACTAGACATTGCAGAGAGGTGACAGAAGTATGGTACAGAGGGAGACATACATACACACATACACACATACTTGTGTACTAGAATTGAGAAAATTTGTTTTGCTTGACTATGTTTATTTGTCACAAGAAATTTTCTTTTTTTTTCTTCCCAGTGGGGTAAGGAGAAGGGGGGGAAGAAAATAGATTTATGTCATTTTTTTTTAAATAGGCAGGCAGCATGGTGCTGTAGTTGTGAAATGCTACGTGAACTTTCCAGTGAAGTCATTTTATTATTTGTTTTACTTTGTTGTGAGATATTGCATAAAGTGGGGATAATCTGAAAATGTCATGTAAAAGTGAAACATATCAGTAGGACTGGAAAAAAAGGGGGGAAAGTAAAAGGGTCTTATTAATCTTTTACATATCCCAGCAGGAGCTTGTCTATGAATATTGACTTGACTTTGGGTCAAAGGTTGCTGGGTCTCTTCTGTACATGGGCTGCCAAAGAGAGAATACACCTGTTCTATTTTGGGCCACAGTAACACTTCATCTATCTGAAACTCAGCTCTCTGGGTAATTTAGAATGAAACCAGAAACAGGAAATAAACAAAATAGGCCTTGGTACAAGAAAACAGATGTCAAAACTCCATACACTGAAGCCCTTTATTCTATAACTCAGATCCTGTTTACTTTTATTTTATACACAGTTCTAATAACATTGGTTATTTGGTTTCTAAACCCACAATAATTTAAAAGTAATCAATTAGAAGCAGGGAGAGGGCTAGCACAGGCAGGTTTACAGATAGCAGAAAGAAGTGACAGTTGCCAAATTGAAGAAACAGAAAAACTATGCAAAGTAGACACTATTCAAAAAGCATAGTAATCTGGGGGAGGACATTCAATATAAGAGCAAATAGCCTTATAAATTTAACGGGGAAATTAGATTACTGAATCAATTCACAACATAATGATTGGTTATAATGACCTTGAATTGTTAGGGAAAGTTTTAATTACATTCACTGTAGTCTTTTTAATGAGGTTTCCATCACAATGGTTTAAAATTAGTGATTAAAAGCTCCGTGGAGAATGGGACTGTTTCTTGGTGCCTCTTCTTTTTAGTTTGTATTTAAATATCCTAATTGTTATGTTAGGTTGAGTGAGAAAATGGGACTGAGGTTGAGCTTTGTCTGACCTTGGTGGCATCCTCTTTTTTTTTTTTTTTTTGAGACTGGGTCTCCCTGTCTCTGAGTATGGAAGTTCAGCGGCTATTTGTGGGCTGATTCCAATACTCTTTACCACAGAAGCTTTGATCTGCTCTGTTTTTCTGATCTAGGTTGCCTTATCCCCTCTTAGGCAGCTTGACAGCCCTCGGCTATTTGCCACATTGGTGCCAGACTTAGTGTGGACACCTGATCTGCTTTATCCTTACCAGAGTTCAGAACTTCCAAACTCACTTGAGCCATCCACCTTCAGCCTCCCCAGCTAAAGGGATTACAAATGTACAATGTCCCATCTACTCTTGGTAACATCCTACCTAAACAAATATAAAGACAGCTATTTCTTAAGCTTCCGTTGGCATGGAGTACTTAATTCTACCTTGGCTTTGATACTTGAACTTCTGCCTAATGTCTGTGGTAGCTTCCTTTACCTTTAGCAGGATAGTTTGACTGTATGATGGGCAAATAGGGCAAAAACCACATCCACAATTTTTGGAGCTCAGGCGATGAAAAAAGAAACTCCCTTGAGTAAATTGAGGATAGTTCCTTGGCTAGTATCTGGGTGCTGACTTCTAACCAGATGAAAACAGTCCAGAAGCCGTACCAGCTAAAATGACTTCACATTGTAGTTTGGGCCACTGAGAAGACCATACACATGCCAGAGGTGTGTGCTCATTGTTTCCATCTCTTCTTCAGAGGGAGGCTGCAAATGGTAAAAACAGGTAGATAGTCTAGTATCTATTCCTCGGTCTGGACCAAATAAAGTATTGGTCACTGTATTTCATTACTTCAGCGTTTGTTGAAACTATTAGCACTTCTCCTACCCTAGCTCCTTTTCTGGCAGAATGCTTAAGGAACAATTGATAAATCAGAGAAATATCTCAGGAGCAAGCTGAGTGAGGTGGTTCCATCTTTTATCAGGGGGTAAGTCTTGCAGAACTTCTTATTTTTACACACACACACACACACACACACACACACACACACATACCTTCCTATTGGTTTACTTAAGTAACATTTATGGTGACTAACCCTGACCACTCCTTTCTTTGAATCTACTGTGATGGATGTCTCCAGCTGAGATGGGTTCTAATGCTTGAATTTGGTGCTGGCCAGATAGTGAAAATGAAATTAAAGTTTTGTTTCTTGATCTTTAAGTTTTAGTCTCATTTTAAAAACTGTGGCCTTAAGAAGTACCTATAGAAAGGTGTATACATTGAAGGGATGTATCAATGTAGAGGAAAAAGTTGTTGGGGACCTGTTGGATCAGCCATCCTTGGCCAAACTGTAATTACAACTGGTACCCAGTTGCCTTCTAGCTGTTTGGAATTGGGGGTAATGGAATGGGGCAGAATGACTTAGCTTTTCCCCACCTAATGCCTGTCAGAACAATGAGTCCCAGGAAAGTGAGCACAAAGAATCACGTAACTGGATTGAGAAGGTGACTTTCAGCTTTTTGTAATTACAAGGGTTGGATTTCTGTTTTTCTAAAGTGACCCCCCCAAAAAAAACCCCCACTGAATCTTCCCTGCTAATCATTCCTGACAGAACAAGTAGATCCTATTGAGACACGTGCCTAGGTTGAGAAGATGACTTCTTTGTTGTTGACAGAATTAGGATCTTTTGAGTTCAAAACTGCTTATCACTTGAAAAGAATGTGTTTAGGGTGGGGAATGGAGCAGGAATTGTATTTCCACCAGCTCTTAGATCCAGCATAAATCTTGAAATACAGATGGTGTAATGTTGCCTCCAAACCTCCGGGGGATAAACTGAGCCACATTGGGAGTGCTAATTAATATGTGACTTGACAATGTAGCTTCTGCCAATGACAACTAGGATGATAACGACTTCTACCACCACCACGACTGTTGTTTTTGTTCAGTTGTGTCCGATTCTTCATGACCCCCTTTGGGGTTTTCTCAGCAAAGATGCTGGAGTGGTTTGCCATTTCCTTCTCCAGCTTATTTTACAGATGAGGAAACTGAGGTGAACAGGGTTAAATGATTTGCCCAGAGTGACACAGCTAGTAATGTCTGAGGACTGATTTGAACTCAGGTCTTCCTGACTCCATGCCTGGCACTCTATCCACTGTACCACCTAGTTGTTGCTGCCTAGCCGCACCACCACTGTTGCTGCCACCGCCGCTGCCGCCACCACTGAAGGCAGCTAGTTGGCTCAGTGGATAGAATTCTGTACCTGGAATTGGGAACATCTGAATTCAAATCTAGACTTAGACCGCTCTATGACCCTGGGCAAGTTACTTAAACTTCTGTCTGCCTTACTCCACTGGAGAAGGAAATGGCAAACCACTCCAGTGTCTTTGCCAAGAAAACTCCATGGACATCATGGTTCATGGGGTCACAAACAGTCAGACACAACTGAATAACAAAAACAACAACACTACTACTTTTATGGTGGGGCTTAAAAATACGGGTCTTATGAGCGGCCTCATTCTTCTGTCTAGCTCTCTTCTTACTAGAACAGAAACTCTGGATTCTTCTTCTCCTGCAGACATTCCACCTCGCTTCATCGGGAATCTTCCATTCCTTTTTAGTAGCTATAAAGGAAGTCCCATTCGGCCTAGGACAGGTATCAGTTAGTGATTCATTTCTGCTTTCTTTTCAGAAGTGTTTGCATTTCCTATATCTTTCTTGTTACTATGAGAAATAATTCATTTGGACCTCTACTCTATGCCAATCAGTACCAATCAGTTTGATATGATTTCATAGGGGTAATGATTATCAGTTCTATAGATTAGGCCCGAGTTCTATATTAGGCTGCAGATTGTAAATTCACTTGCTTAATCAGAGGAGGCTAACTAGAGGCCCTCCACCCTTGTTTTTCCTTGTCATGGTGACCAAACCCAGTGTGATGGAGGTGACTCAGTTACATGGAAAGTCCTCCAGCTTATTTTTGTACCTCTGGACCACTCTGTCTTGTCCAACATAAGCAGGTGACCATTTTATGACCATCTTACCACAACTTAGTCAATGGAGAATGCCCCATGCTCCACCCAACCCGAAACCCCCCTGTTGACATACCATTTCTAGCTGGTACATAATTTTTTTGCCTGTAAAGCAAGATCTATCAATCAAAGGGATTCTGTTCAGGTATCAAATTTGGTATCAAACCTTATAAAAATAAAGCCCTGGAAGAAGGGGGCATCTCTGATTGTGAGGAAGAGCTGAGGTCCACTTCATTGGAGGGGACCATGGACCCTTTAATAAAGCACCATGGGCTCAGAGTTCTGACTCAGTCTCTTTTACTATAGGTTG